GTTAAAGAAATTTCGAGAAAAAATTAACTTTCATGAATTAACATTCCTTAAAAGTAAATGTAATAACAATATTGAAACATCTATCCCTAATATAGAAAATATAAAACTATAATCATTAGGTGAAGAAAATTCTGAAGAAGCAGAGAGAAAACAAAATGACTTTTTCGAGAATACTGGCGTTGTAAATGTAAGTGTATTTACTGTTATAATGCATATATAAGACGGTTATATTTTTAATTAAGAACTTTTTATGAATATATATTTGAATGCTGTAATAGGTTCATAAATAAAGTATATATTTTATGCTAAAAATACAATTCTGTGCAATTATTTATCTTTATGTTTCAGTATAATATTTTTGATAGTTTAGATGAGTATCAAAAGAATGAACAAATAGATAAAGAAAAAAAAAAAAGTCTTATTAATGTCTTTACGAAAAGCTGTAATATGAATAAAAAAAAAAAACATATAATGAAAAACAGATTTTGTAAATATATGTGAATATTTTATAGCTTATTTTTTTTTTTTATATCACGATAACCTCAGAAAAAAGAAAGGAGATACTAATAATTATTTTGGATATTTGAATTATTGGATAAACAAAAAATTAAAAGTTATTAAACAAAAAGCTACAAAATTTATTGAATTTGTTGATGATGGTCTGGATTTAACAAATGTTAAATTAAAAAAATACAATAAATTTAAATGTAACATATATGATATGAATGATGATGTGTATGAAAAAATGAATATATTGTATAATTTTTATGATAACTATTATAATATTATGAATAATACAGATAATCCAAATAAATGCTCAGAATATGCTAATACTTGCATTGAAGAATTTAATAAAGAAACTAATAATAGTAAATTTTATAATGCTCTGAAAAAATTTGCACTAATATATAATAACAATACAAGAATTGATTCATCACATCGTAAAAATGAAAACATACCACAAATGCTCGAAATTGAAGCATTAAGAGAAAAAGAGATGAAAGAATATGCAAAAAAAGCTTTAGACATTTGTGATGATATTAAAACCGAAACAATATAGTTAATAGGAGGAAACACCAATATGTATATTATAATATTTAATTAGATTTAATTTTTATATATTTAATTAAATATCAGTTAATAACTAAAAATAAGAACAAACAGAAAAAAAAAAGAAAAAAAAAAAGGTGATTTTAATGTGCATCTTTTATCTTTTTAATATTTAGGAAGATATTTTAGAAAGATTACCTGCTCATGAAACATATAAGACGTTGAACAAAACAAAAGTAGACGTACATATGTGCACTAGATATTGTGAAAATATTATAAATTATAGCCACAATAATAATGATATATATATATTATGTGCTTTGATTTCATCTAATTTAAAACATTTACTTACTATGGATGATATAGGAAAGAATTATAAAAAACGTAGCTCATATTTGATTTACTGGACTCATTATCAGATAATGAATAAAGTGAATTCAACTATTAAATATAATTATGACAAAAGTTTTTTTAATGATCTTAATTATTCAAATATTAACATTAATGGTACATTTCCAAAAAATGGAGACCACTGTTTGTATTATTTAGACGGAGATATAGAAGAATGGGGCTAAGAAAAAGATTTACATGATTATTTTGTAAATTTCAATAGTTTATATGGAATTATTGTTGAAAAGAATAAAAATATAAGATACTGCCAATACCTTGAGTATATTAGAAATTTGTATAGAAAACATTTTTTAACATGCTGTACTTGCTATAATTATGAAAATTCATATTGTTTGAACAAATGTTCAAAAATATTTTATGTGTGACAAAATTTATCATCCTAATGAACTTCTAACAGTTTTAAAGTGTGAACATAAAACACCCTCTGAGAGTTCTGAAGATATGTTTAAATATGTAACTCTCCATTTTGATGAACTAAAACAAAAATTAGATAAATTATTACATATAAAAGAAGCATCCTCTGGAAGTATAGAAGATGTATTTTAAAGTACAACTATTGGTTCTGATACTGTGAAGAAAACAGAGGATATGTCATTAGATAAACGTAAAACATTATCACATGACGTCTTTTATGTTGTGATATTGATATCATTTTCATTGCTTGGATTATTTTTTTTGTTCTTTATATTTTATAAAGTAAAGTGAATATTTAAAAATATAATTAATACGGAAAAATATGCGTTTAATAATTTTTAAAAATATATTTATATAACATTTTTTTTTTAATCTTTATCTTTTCCACTTTTATGTAAGTTTACCCCCCTGGGATCCCATATTACATTGGAGAGAACTAAAGAAAAAAATGATGCCTCAAAACATGATCGAAAAACATAAGAAAAAATCCGTTCATAATAATTCACATTATAGAAGTTTAAACAATTCGAAAAAAAGAATTCGCTTAGCTTATAATAATGTACAATATACTTATTTTTAAACTAGCATTGAATAACGAGGAAAATAAAAAATGTCTGTTAAAGACTATGGAACTTATTCTCAAAATAAAATCGTATTAATATAATTTAATGTAAAAATAAGCATACGTTTTTTATTTAATTCATTTGATAGCATCATAGATATTTTCTTGTTATGTTTCATTTAAGTTTTAAATATTTTTTGTTCTATATTTAATTTTTGCTAACGCTTTAGTTATAAAATTAAATCTTTTTACTTGTATACCATAGTTACTATATTTATATGAAGAATATAAATTATTATTATATTTTAAATAAATGAATGATTTTTATAATATTTTCATTAATATAAATAAATCTTCATAAATATAAACTCATTAAAAATTTCCAATATAAAAATAAATTTTTAATGCCTTGTATTAAGCACATATATAACATTAAAATACCATACAAACATAAAATAAATAGTATTATTTGTAAACTGAACAATCAAAAAATTAAATCATTGTTTTTTATGAGAAGACACTGTTTAACTAAAGGTTTTATAATATTTCTACTTTGTGCTATACAATTTTCTTAAATTGAACACATTTATCATTGCATTACATGCTTTATATGCATATAAATAAGGAATATTTATAAATTATTAAACATACATGTGAATATTATAAGGTATTATTAATATAAATATATTTTATGTATTTCCATGTTCAATTTTTGTAATTAGCTTTATTTTTGACAACAAATGTTTATTGACATTAGACTGATTTTTTGATAGTGTATTACAATACTCTTCGAGAAATACATACACTTATATTCTTTTATGTAAGGAATAATTCATTTATAATACATAATTAACACACTCTATTTTACATTATATTTATAATAAATATATGCATTATATACTTTTCTGCTATAATAAAGTATTATTTTAGATAATACACTAAAATTAGGAATTCAAACATACTACAAGCAGGACGAAACATAATAAAACATAAACAGAAATAATAATTCATTTTATTTTTATAAGAATAACATAAGAAAATGTTAAATTAAAATTATTATGTAAAATGTAATGAATAATATTTATTGTAACTAAAAATGTAAGGAATATCATTGAGAATTAGATAAATATCTAACTAAAAATCTTAAAAAACAACACAAATAATTATTTATTATATTAAATAATATAGGAAATATAAATTTAATGAATAAAATAATTTATATAAATATGAATTTCAGATGGATATTATTATGATGTATACTAAATTTTAAGGAAATTCTTGTACTCTTATAATATTTTCAATAACTATTCCTATTATGAAAATTACAGATTCGTACAATTAGAGTCATTAACATCTATTTCTCAATAATAATAAAATTTATATTTGTAATAGTTCTTTTTTTTTTTTAAAAAGAATATTGAAAAAAAAATTTAATTAAGTCTTATTTTATAAGTATAAATTCTAAAAAGAATTGCATTCCCAAGAGAATTAAATATTTTTAACAATATAATAAATAAAATATTTTAAATATTAGAAAAATGTAAAATACATAACAAAGGAGAAATAAATTTTAATATACATTTTTCTTTGTTTACACGTGAAATATGAAATTCTATAACTTCTGTACTATTTATTTTGTAAAGACATCATTATTATTACAGCGTTATAGAGAATAATCTAGCATTAAGTATTTATTTTTTTTTTCATTTTATTTTTATTTAATGATTTTTATATCATATTCACAGAATATAACTTATTTATTATTATCATAAATATTATTTAAAAATTTATATATATATCCTTAATCCAGAGTTCATTTTTTGAAATTAAATTATATTAAGGAATATGCAATAAAAAATGTGTAATAAAAAATATAGAATAGGAATAATATATGTGAATATTACATACATCTGAATAAAAAGTATATATCTGTATTTTTTAATATTTAATAAGTAAAATAATATATGAATCTTTATATATATTAGCATATAATTTATTTTTATATATATCTATATTAAAAGTTTAGGCTCCTTCATTTTTTATGTACATTTCATTCTGTATTTTATTTATATTATATTCATTAAATCTTTACAATAGTTTTTTATTTATATTACGTGTAAATAATATAAAATGAAAAAAATTTATGATGAATATAAGTGCAAGCACCTATTTTCTAACCTATATACGATATATGTCCTAAATAAAAAAAATAAAGCTGTCATATAACTATCATTCCCTTCTATATGTTTATTGTTTTATTTATTATGATCAATCAGAATTTTAAAAATGTAAAATAAGAATTACTATTTTATGTTATTTAACATTTATAATATGTAACTCTTATAAAGAAATCAAAAAATATCATTAAGCATATATTCATAACATGGCTTAATTATGATAATAAATGAATAAGCTTTTATTTATTTATATTTACTATAAATTATGTTATATTATATATATAAGTATTATGGCTCATTCATTATTTTAATAACAATTTTTGCAATCATATATATATTTTTAATAAAAAATTATATAATAAATAATTTGTAATGTTCCCTTAAAAATGGTCAAACAGGTAATTTGTATTTTTATGTTATAATTAATATATTAAATTTAATATAATGCATACTATTTTATTATGATTTGTGTTAATTCATTTTAACATACCCAATACATATGTCTTTTTGTTATTTTATTCTTAAAAGGTACAAGAGTTAAATGATAAACAATGTTACGAAGCTTTTTTTAAAATTCGCGATTCATTCAATACCTCTTATGAAGCCCATTATACGAATATATTAAATACTAATGACCCATTTTTAAGGAATATTGCTTTTTATCTTATTGAAATATATTCAGACGCAAAGACGTTTTGTTATTATATGTGTGACGATGATAAAGAAGATTGTAAAGAAAAATGCAAAAAATATTGTAAATATTTAAATGATTGGTTAAACGAAAAAAAATCTTTATACACTTCTCACGGTATGTGTGAATATAATAAAAAAATATGGAATGAATACATTGAAAAATTATGGGAAACATTAACCAGTCAGCATGAAAAAATATGGTGTGAAAGAAAAAACACTTCGTATACTGATACGTTTCCTAACAAGTTAATACCTAAAAGCTGCAATAATAATAGTCCCATTGAATTCTCTATAAATTGTCAAAATATTGAAGATAGTAGTGATTTGGTATATTCCCCTTCTTGTAGTACATTATCTAGATTTTCTATATTTGCTGCTTCCATAGGATACGTATTTTTTGGAATTATTACATTATATATCTCCATATATAAAGTAAAATATATTTTTATTTAATAGCACTAGTTTTAATGATATGTATAAATTTAAGATTATTTCACAAAATTTAAACATATATAGAATACTAATATCATATATTTTTTTTAAATTCTATAGTTTAGTCCTATGAATTCGTGGATGAGGTATTTTATTCGTGACAACAAAATGAAGTTACAAAATATATATAAAAGAATAACACAAAGAATACCTAAACATTCAGACAAAGCTAATGAAGAATATTTAAACAGTAACTTTCATGTACTGTATGATTCTTTTCTAAACTAAAAAATTAAATATAAAAATATGAACATTTTTATTAAATCAAATATGGCTTATGAAGCATACATAAAGTCAGCATACTTAAACTAAATAAGAAAAATGTTTTATACTG